ATCGTAGCTGCCAGAATAAGCGCACAGCCCCTGCCGGTGACAATGCTTATGTCCATTGACCCTTCAGAATGGGGTACCCGGAACAGAATCTGTGCCAGGTTGGAAGAGCCGACTGTGCTAAAGATCATCATGGCAAAGAACTCGCCAATCTCGGCATTGTAGTCGTACAGGAACCGTCTGAACTAGCCGGTCGGGCGAGACATCAACTCACGTATCTCCTCGTAAACCACTGGATGCTTGAAGTTCTCGGTCAGGCCCTGGGGCGACGAAGACTGGATAGTCGCGAAGGAATCAACATTCACCTCATGGTGGGTGACGTTATTGGCAGACATTTCACAAAGTGGAAAACTAGAAACCACAGTTTGTGGACTACAAGAGAAGCTGTCTAACGTGGCTGTCTTAATGAATAGGGCATGGTATTCGCTCTGACCCTATCTTTTGCATGAATATACCCCTCCAGCTGTTGATACTATCTGCTGTATGCAAAATAAAAATAAAATAAACCTTCATTCCTGGCAACGATGAGATTTGATATTTGACAACCCACCCCTTCAACCTGCCGGGACCACCATAGAGCCCATGTCATGCCTCTGCCAACACTGTATCTGAGTTTGTCATGGACGCCAGATCGACCTATGCACCTTCCTATTCGAGTACAGTCGACTGTCTCTGCCTGCGCAAACCCTTTTCACTACCCATTTAGGGGAACCGTGCCAGCGTGGCTCGAAATTCTAGAAATGGCAGCAAATCCAGCAAATCCAGCAAGACGGCAGCGGAAAATGGAGGATGAGAATAGCCATCCTACCAGTTGCCCTTGGCTCAATATCAGCAAGCAAGACACTATGACGGGATGGAACGACCTCAGCAACCCAAGATTTATGCAATATGCCACCGGAACCTACCTATAGATGCAAGTGTGTATTATTGGTGCGGGGATTTCTCGCATTTCCATGTCATCTCTTGGATATGTTTGTCGCTGGGTATGGCCGCTCCCCCAATTGAATGGCTCAACCATTTGCAGACGGATTGTTGCTGATTGTTGCCCACAAACTCAAGCTTTCTTCGTTAGAACAGATGTGGACTATCAAAAACTGCGCTTCCTTTTAGTTCAGCAGTCTATTGGGTCGTGTGCAGAGCAGCCATACTGTCCAGCATCCTGTATTCCTATACACTGCTGAGGAATGCGACTTCTCCATGTGTATCAGACACAGCAGCCGGTATGATTCCAATACCTTTCAATCTACTCAGAAGCTGCTGTCACATTCTCAGCACATGCTCTGACTTGGACACTTATAGGCTATTCTTGTCTGGGACATGGGAAACGGCCACGATGTAGGCTTCGTTCCCTATATGGGATTGCTGCATTCGCATCTTCTACTGAAGCAAACCTTAGCAAGCAATTCTCTAGAGATTCACTGTCACACAAATAGCTAGATGACTTTGAAAGATGCATTGCATCGATATAGCGGGCTGCTATCTAGATTCTAGTACTATATCTGCCTGTGGTTGTAAATAAAACTGAAGAACCCTTTGCTCAGATATCTTCAATGGCAGTTGGCTTGATATTAACACAACAGCACATGTTAAACAGTGCAATGGTGTGTGGCATCCTCTAGTAACACAATCGCTACTGCATCCATTTGGACATGCTCTGGATCAAGCAAGATGATTGCATGATGGAAAGTGATGAATATTTTCATTGTGATATTTTTTATTGATACAAACTACACCTTGCAGAAAACACGATTTGCTCTGTAGCTGTTCGCTTGTTCGGATTCAAAACTGACATCAAGATCCAGTCCGACAAAAAAGAAGGCAAGCAGAATTATTCCTACAAGTCTCTCCTCATACACCCAGTCAACCAGCCCTACCTCCAATAATGCCAAAAAAAAACAGTTTCTAGGGGGAATGCGCTCCAACTACTCTACTAGCCAACCCACCCTTTTTGCAATTTGCATTTGGGTGCATCGGCGGGTTTAATTTCTAGGAGCAGCAGGCCAACGAGCAAAAGAAAAACTACCCATTGTGATCTGCATTCACAGCCTCGGGCGCTATGCTACATCCAGCCCTCCGATGGAACGAAGGACACGCGTGGAAGAGAGTAGTGCGAGCTTTGTGAATTCCTGTGTTCCAGAACAATTCAGAGGAGCCATTTGGTCCGCTATATGCATTTGATATAGTTTTTTACTCAGTGTGCAGTGAAAGAAGCATTTAGAATTATTTGATATAAACGGCAGGGAGCACTAGTAGACAATAAACGGAGCAAAGCACAGCCATGCCTCTTACAGAACAGGATTTTGCGATATGCAAAAAGTCTTGATTGCGGTAAAGTGTAAAGAACGAATATCCCTTCAGAACGAAAGTTGAAATATAACAATGTTCCAACTGTTGTTACGCAGGGCAACAAGACATTTATATAGGAACACTGGGCGTTGACAGCGCCCCCCGGACTCCGGACTCGGGACCAAATGTATGTAGCCAAGTATCTTCCGGGGATTTGAAGGTGCCAGTACCAATTGATAGCATGCGCTGCGTTTACTGTACTGATGCAAGTATTGAGCAATCAGGTTCGAGCGAGGAGATTGTTTACAAGAGACGACTGCATCACTAGCCACCAGTCATTCCACAATTCAGCACCTTGCGACAGCTAGATTAGCAATGCCATGCATCAGCTTTTGCATCAGCAAAGTGAGTACAGATTCCGGCCCAGGAGGCAACCCTGTCGGAAGTGCTGGCGGGCTAAGGAACGGGGTTATTGAAAGCAATAGCGTAGGCGCAGATATGAATACTTGCCTTGGCATGTACTCATATGAATACAATCAAGTGGAAAAGAGGGTTTCTATGAAAGAACTATGACAAGAGCTCGCAAGACGAACTATATATCGTTTGAATTGGTAGGTTCTGTTACCAAGACATATTTGAGCTCAAATCAATGATCACACTGACTCAACCAATTGTTGGTTCAACCACCAAAGCAGCGCTTCTCAAACACCTTGCACACAAAACCACATCAAAGTATTTTGCCGCCATTACTGGACATGCCCAGATTTCTGTGTAAATGGCATGCACGAAATCGTATCTTGCGAACTCTAACAACCTATACAGCAGCCGCACATCCCATACGAGTCGCGGGGCCGCGGTGAGCCGCAAAGGCGGGAATCTCTTCGGCCGAGCCGTCGATCATATTTTTCACGATTAGTAATCAATACAACCCATGCACCTTGCCTAGGCCATTTGCCATTCCAAAGCAGCAACAGCTCTTCTTTGCAGTATTCAACGTCATCTACTGTCTCATTTTTCTCAGCATACGCGCGCACGCAGCGATGGATAATGGATACTCTCCTACCGAGCATAATTGAGAACATAATCCTATACCTGGCGCGGCTTGCCACGCCTGTGCGACGACTTTACAGACTATGCAGTAAATCTCTGGCCACAGGCGACCCTACGACCGCTGCTGGCGGTAAACCAGCATTGGAGACATGTCGCCTGCATGCACTACTACCAGGCAGCGACGCTGGTGGTGATGAGCTCGTGTCTTGATCTCTGGCGATTCCAGCTGGCTGCTAGTCTGCTGGACATTACCCGGCTCGGGTGCCAGAGATATGTACGGAGGATTCATTTCCTATTCCGCATAGACGATGTAGCGTTCAACGGATTTAGCGAGATGGTGCGGCAGTACTTGGGCCAGGCTGGAAATCTTCTGGGTGTGCGGGAAGTCCGGTTTACATGCATGTGCCCGCCTGGGTACCGGATACCGGAGCCCGGGCAGCCACGCCTGTGTATTAATGGCCTGTCCCAGGTTATTCGGAAGATGCTGCCGAACACACGGCGCACGACGATTCTATTCGACAACTTTTGCGAGATGAGCCGCCCGCTGCACACGGGCCTAGACGACGCCGTGCGATGTATGCTCGCGGCTGTCAATTCACCCATATCGCTTACAGTTGGCTTCACCGAAAAGTATCGCGCGTATTTTGTGTCGCCGGCAATGCTTGGGATAAAACACCTGCACATTCACCGGCGAGCGGCGGGCCGCAGTATGACGCAAATAGCCAAGCGGAATTCCGAGACACTCGAGTCGCTGACTCTTGACCACATCCCGGCAAGCAACATGGCCAGCATTTTCGCTGGGCGTAAGGGCAGGCAGGTCATCTACCCACAGTTGAGGAAGCTGACGGTTAACCGGCGCGAAGCCATGAGCTGGCATAGGTGTACGCTGCAACTGCTACTGAACCCAACGCCGATGCTGACCGAGCTGCACTGCAACGGCCAGTTCCCATTCGACAGCGTACAGTTGATTACGTGGAACCGGCAGCAGCTGCGGGCACTGTCGCTAGACCTGGACGTCAAGCTGATGAAGCAATTGTACAAGACAGGCGATTTTTACGCGGAGGCCTTCCCAAAGCTCAAGGCACTGAGTCTGGGTTGGAATCCAACCAACGCCATCCTCGAGCAGCGGGCCAAATCCATTATATTCGCAATGCTGTTCACGCTGGGGTGCTCAGTCGAGTACGTGGAGACGTCTATTGCCCTGGGCCGGGTGTACCTGGAAATCTTCCAGGACGTGTGCATGGACTCTATCGTGTATATTGATATGCGAGCAATCAGCATCACATGCTTGCAAGCGGTGCGCATGTTTGGGCGTCTGCGCCAGCTTAGCCGTGCCCACTTCTCACTTACCAGCTGCCGCCAAGACGGTCGCTGGCGCATGATGACTGCAGGCGAGCTGTGCTATTACAAAAGCAACCGGGAAGAGTCCTCGAGCGTGCGGTCTCTGTATATCCACAATGATGTATTCCAAGAGTCCGAGTTTGTCCCCGCACATGTGCTGGCATTTGCGCTTGCGCTGCCGTCTTTGAGGTTCATTATCGCGCCGATGCGGTCGCGCGACATCGACATCGACATGCTGATTGCGCAGACCCGGCAAGGCAGTCTGTTCTGCGACGAGCCGCAGGTGAACAGCGTCAAGCTGCTCAACATGTACTAATGCATTTCGACTAAATATTAGTAACGTTTGTAATTCTAATTCTTTGGCCGCTTTCCCGGCCGTGTACTGCTGTTGCCGCTGCGCTTTTGTTCCGGATCTTGTCGCGCTCGCCAAAGTTAGACTCGAGCAAATGCAAGGCTGCCGTGCGCTTTGCCCTCAGAACCTTGCCCATGCCCTCGAGAACCTTCTTCTCGCTGATCGGCATCTCCTCCAGCTGCTTGCCAATACGCGCCTCGATGTTGTGGATAAGCTTGATATCGCTCTCCGACATAATGGTAATGGCCCGGCCACCGCGGCCCGCACGTGCAGTACGGCCGACACGGTGAATATACTCGTCAGGGTCGCGCGGCACGTGCATGTTGACAACCAGCTCGACTGAGGGATATCGAGGCCACGGCTGGCAACGTCAGTGGCAATCAAGATACGGACCGCCTCGGCACGGAACTTCCCCAGGCTGTTGAGCCGCTCCTGCTGCGAGATCTTGGAATGCAGAGCAGTGACGCGGAACCCAAGCTCAAACAGCATTACGCGCAGGGACTCTGCCTGCTTGCATTGGCCAACAAAGATCATGATAGGACTTGTCTTTGCCCACAGTCTTGCCATCATCGCCCGCATCGTCGTCAGAATCAGAATCTGACTCGCTGTCGTCGCCATCGTCGTTGAGCTTTGGCTGCCCCCGGCGCTTCTCGAGCTTGGACACATTCGACATCAGCAGGTGGACCAAGTACGCTTCCTTGACGTGGGACGGCACAAAAATATAGTTTTGCACCAGCGAAGAAACTGTGCTCACGCTGGTATCGCACAGATGCGTAAACACGGGCTGCTTCGAAGGCTTTTCGCGCAGCTGCAGGATGCTCGGCGTCATGGTGGCTGTAAACAGCAGTGTTTGCCGGTCGCGCGGGATACTGTTCATAATGGACAGCCATGTCGGGCGCAAACGTCTCTGTCAACAAGCGGTCTGCCTCGTCAAGCACCAAAAACTTCACTTTCTGGAAGTGCACAGCATTCGCGCTGCTCTCAATGTGATCTGCTAGCCGGCCAGGTGTGGCAACAACAATGTGTGGACGCCGCGACAGCTCCAGGGCCTGCTTAACCATGTCCATACCGCCGATCGCCACTGTTACCTTGATGTTGACGCCCTTGCCCAGAACATTGAACTGCTCGGCAATCTGGTATGCCAGCTCACGCGTTGGCGTCAGAACCAATGCGAATACTCCAAACGGGTCCTCTGACAGCTTCTGCAGGATCGGGAGGCGAATGCAGCAGTCTTTCCTGAGCCGGTCTTGGCTCCGCCAATTGCGTCGTGGCCGACCAGAATCGGCGGAATGCATGCGCGCTGGATCTCGGTGGGTTCAGAAATCGACATAGCACCCAGGGTATCTACTAGCCAGGGATCAAGACCAAGGTCGGCGAACGAGCACATGGGTGGTGGGATCGATGGCTCCATTGTACTGCTAGTGTTGATCTCAATGCGATCACCCTCTGCCTCGTCACCGCTGACACCACTCTCTAGGTCAGCTGCTATGTCTTTGGGCGGAAGTTCCTGAGGCATTTTCTTAAATAATGTGGAAGTAGAGGCGCTGCTGAAGAAGAAAAAGAAGAAAGACTAGGAACACGCCTGGCTGCAGGCTTGAAAAAAAAAAACTAAATCTAATATCGCCGAAGTAATCGATCACAGCACGGCACGTGCTCTTGCCCCACCTGATGGAGGTGGCAGGTGTTCCTTTTCTGGCCGAATCAGACATGGGGCTGAGGG